CAAGAAGAAAAGGAGAGGCGGCGGTGCGGAGAGGCGACGAGCAACGGCGGTGGCGACGGGACCGGCGACGGTGAGAGACGGTGAAGAAGGAGATGCTGGCAGACTTCGATCCATCTTCGAGCAACTCACAAGCTTCTTGGAGTAGGAGGTGATGAAGACGGACAGAAACGAGAGAAGCCGGTTTGTAGGAGGCGATGAAGAAAGGAAGCTTCCGGGAGAAGCTGTTCGGGAAGAACGTGTCTGGAGAGAAGGTGTGTCTGGTCACATTTTTGGAAAATTCAAAAAGGTTTATATTATTGGAAATGAAAAGTTAAATAGTCACACGTCTGCCATTTTTTCTATTTTCAAATAAAAATGGTTAATTTATAAAAACTGATATTTTTTAGCTGATCGGCATTACCGGGCAATGATAGAGGATACAAGAAAGACCTCCATATTTCATACTCTTTAATGATTTCTTTATCTATTTTTTTATTTATTTTAAGTTTTTTCTTTTTAATTTGTTTTTAACTTTTATTATTTAGTATTTTTTTTAAAAAAATCAGAATTGTTTTTATGTTTTTTCCGATTGTTTGTATAAGTTGAATATTTTTCATTATTATCCAGGAAAATGGAAACTAATAATCCAACCTTTTAGCAGTCTTCTTACAATAGTCCCACATTTTCGTTATTCAAGAATAATTTAACCTTTGCACGTCATATTCCTGACCGGTTGATGACCTGCTGCTATTCCAAGTTATTTTCTTATCTTTGCAAAATATTATTTTTGTTAAAGGTGAGATTTATGGTATAATGATTTGCAAAGATAAGAAAATAACTTAGAATAACAGGTCATCAACTGGTCAGGGACCAGTGAATGAAGATGAGGTGCAAAGGTTGGATTATTCATGAATAACGAAAATGTGGGACAATTGTAAGAAGACCGCTAAAAAGTTGAATTATTAATTTCCATTTTCCCTTATTGTTTTTATCACAAAATAAAATATGATTATCCTATTAAGTATGGTTATGATAGAATATGAAGATAAGGTATACTTTAGTCCTATTTTGGGAAGATAAATAACATAACATCTTTACGCCTTTAGGGTTTAGTTCAGATCTATTTAGGGCTATTAATATAATTACATACTCATTTACTTCATCGATTATACATTTATTTACACTATTGAATTTAAAAATGAGGCCTCTCACATGCCCACATCGTTCTGTTTCTACGTTCTGAGTACAAGTTGAGAGATGTTGATGACATTGATAAGGTAATATCAGCTAAACTTCCTGATCCTCTCCAAGATGCAGAATTGCATGACGCGGAAAAAAGTTTAATGATACATGGTCCTTGCGGAGTTTTCAACAAAAAGTCGCCATGCATGTCATAACGGTAAGCAAAGACAACAATTCTATTGATCATAGATTTGTAGTGCCTTACAATCCCAGTCTGTCATAGAAGTTTCGTGCCCATATCAACATTGAGTGGTGCAACCAGTCGCGTTCAGCCAAATGCTTATTCAAGTATATCGATAAAGGGGATTATATGATCACAGTTGCATTGATGAGATTAAGATGTACTACAATTGTCGATACATACAATGTGTGAAGCGATGTGGAGAATCCTCTCATTTGATATACATTATATGACACTCACAACCAGTTGAAAGATTATGTTGTCACTTGCCAGGTGAGCAAACTGTCATGTACAGAGAAAGTGACCACATAGAATCTATCCTTAAGACAAGGGGAAATCAACAAACTGCTTTAACAGGTGAGTTTGAAGCGAATAAACAATATGATGAAGCAAGAAATTTGACATATGTGGATTTTCCTCTCAAGTTGTGTGGATGTAAGACCATAAAATTTGGAAGATTTGAAAACAAAGCTACACAAAAGGTAGGATACATAATATTCCACCAGCATCTTATCCTGCATTTTGAGAGGTTCAAACCGTGAATCCTATTGAATAAAGTCAAAGTGTGCATGAGTTTTGCAGCCACTCACATGATTGATGGGGTCAAGTATTCAAATTATAAGGAAGCATGCTATGCACTGAGATTGATCAACGACGACCATGTATACATAGACGCGATCAAAGAGGTCAATGTTTGGGCATCTCCCAAGTATTTGAGGTATTTATTTGCCGCTATTTTACTTTCATATGCAGTTCACAGACCTCACAGTGTTTGGGAATCATGTTGTGTGATGATGATCGAAGATTACATGTACCGCATTTTGAGAGGTTCAAACTGTGCAGGTAGAATAATTCAAATTATTTTTAAGACTAACTATAAAATAAAATACTCATATAATGTCTTAATAACTACTCTATGTCAAGGCAGGCAGAGAGCATAATATATACCTTGCAGATATTGAAGAATAAATGTTACAGATATTGAAGGAATATTACAAAGGAACGAAAAAAACCTTGCAAATTTTGAAGGTATTTCCAAAACCGGATGCAACGTATGTAAGTTATGACGAAAATACACTTATAAATGAAGAGGTGGAGTATGACAGAGAAGACTTGGCACGATAGCTACCGCATCTCATTGATTAGTTAACCGATGAGCAAAAATGTAATTACAAGGACATCATTAATGATGTGCGTGGAAACACCGGGAGTAAATGTAAATTTTTATTTTCAAACTGTATGGTAGTATGGACATTGTAAATTGAAAATAAATATATAAATTTTAATATATTTACAATAAAACTGTTGTCACGTAGTGAATCATACTTCCTCTTTTATACATGGATTTTCTTTGTCTACGGAAACAGTGGAACTGGCCGGAAAAACGTTTCTATGGAATACTGTGGCAACATATATTAGGAGTGAAGAAAACATTGTCCTCGGAGTAGCATCAAGTGGAATAGCATCAGTACTATTGCCCGGAGGTAGAATTACACATCTGAAAACTCCAACTTAACACATCTGAAAATTAAACTCCAGTTGTATTATTAATCAACAAAACCTTCAAAGCAAAGCTCCTCCAATACACATCCCTAATTACATGGGATGAAGCTCCAATGATGCACATACTTTGTTTTGAGGCCTTAGATATGACTTTTAGAGATATTATGAGCCAGAGTGATCCATTTAATGAAAATCAGTTGTTCGGATGGAAAGTTTTTTTTCTTAGAGGAGATTTCCGGCAAATTTTACCAGTCATTCCAAAAAGAGGAAGAGCCGATGTGGTGATGGAAAACATCAACTCTTCTTATCTTTGGAGTGATTGTGCACTTCACCGTCTCACAAAGAATATGAGATTACTTTCAACTGTTCCTGATGAAAAGAGTGACATTGAAAAGTTCGATTCATAGATTTTAAAGGTTGGGGACGGTGATATTAAAACACAAGTAGATGAGTTTGACAAGTGAAAATCCCAGATGAATTTCTTATCAAGGCAGAAGATAACTATCTAAAAGTTACAGTTAATAGTACTTATCCTAACCTGCAAGAACGCCTCAACGATCCTACTCGCATGCAGGAAAGAGCATTACTTGCACCTACTTTAGACTTGGTTTGCCAAATAAATGACAACATGCTATCTTTGATTCCTGGTGACGAAGTCACGTACCTCAGCTTAGATAGCATTGTTAGTTCATATATTAGTTTGTATCGCGAGAGTGACATGTACACACCAGAATTTCATAATAGAATCTCAATCTTGGGATTGCCTGATGACGAATTGTAATGGAACCAGGTTGATTATCACTAAGCTTGGAGAACGTATGCTAGAAGAAAAGATCATCTACAAAAGAAATATGGGGGCACTGTCCACATTCCTAGAGCGCCGTTATCTCCATCTGACGTTACACTGCCATTTAATTTTCAGAGGAAGCAATTCCCAGGTATGGTATGCTTCGCGATGAGCATCAACAAGAGCCCGGGTAAGTCTTTATCTCAGGTCGGACTATATCCAGAGTCAAGAGCAAAGAAGGATTGAAAATTTTGATTCGCTCTAAAGATCGGAGATTTCCCCCCAAGACCAAAAATGTTGTTTTTGCAGAGGTTTTCCAGAAGTTGGAAACACGGTCTTTCAAATTTTTATGCCATTTAGTTATTCTAATGTATTACGGATCTCAACTTCTTTATTATTATATGCGAAGTATTATATATTATTATATCAAATTAATACATATTTCAATGTTATTGGCAATAAGGATTACAAAGTTCATACGACAGATATATTTCATATATACACAAAATTATAAAATAAATATTTCATATGGGAGTTGCACCTGGGGCAATGCCCGGGTACAAAACTAGTATCTATTATATTTTTGACTTCAGCTAAGGCAGCGAGAGAGTGATTTTTCACTACATGTGAGTCCAGCTAAGGGTCACGTTAATCTATGGAAAACTCAATTAGGTCGGTATATTTTCATCCCCAACCCTTTATATGTTTATTTATCTAGAGAACGATCTACAATGCAACTTACATTGATTATATGAACCTCTAGGTTATGCATAGATCATAATTGTATAAATTTACTTCTAATTAACAAGAGTAAAATGGGAATCACGTACTCTCACTACAAGATTTAGCACCTTTTGCTACAGAGTAATTTTGTCGGGAAAGGTTTGATTTTGTAGGGACAAAGTTTTAGCGACAAAAAACATTTGTGGGGTGATTTGTAGGGCAAAGAGTGTGGGGAAAGGGTTTTCGACACAAAATTTATATCTTTGTAGGCTAAAACCTAGCCCTACATATCTTTTACATACAAATTACTTTTATCTAGACAACACATTCCACACAAGTTCTAATTTGTAGCCATAGACATTTTAACACAAATCATTATTTGTAGACATTTGTATGTAGACGATTTGTTTAGCCACTACACTAATTTCGTGGGAAAAGGTGAACGTAGGGATCAGATACAATACTTTTAGGCAAAAATTAATTATATTTAGGATGAAATATTTATAGGGAGAAAACATTTTTTAACACAAGAGGTGATAACAGTATAACACACTAGGTAAAACTTGCTTGTGGTGACAAACTAATTACTTGTCTCAACACAACACTGAATAAATAATATTTGTAGATTAAACTTGATAATGATTATCCTAGTAAACGATGGTTTGAGTAATATCAAAGGGAAATGAAAGATAATGTCTTACATATCATATGATTAATAAGAAAAACAAAATAAAGTATTTGAGAACAAATAATTGTCATATCACAATCTCTATTCAGCTTCATAATTTGCCTCGTCGAAATCTCCTTCGTTATCAAAAGTATAATCCTCATCTTCACTGCCACCATCTATTGAAACCGGTACAAACGAGGGAAGAACAATACAAGGAACTTGATTGCATAATTTTTCCAGAGTTATGCCAAGACATCAAAGTACTATTGAAGCTCTGTTCAACTTTCTTCATTTTTCTTTGCATCATCTCCTCTGCCTCAATTCGAGCCATGTGAGAAGCTTTTCGAGCAGCACGTTCACGTTCCAACTCATCTGACAATTGCTGGATTTTTTAATCCTAAAAAATAACTCTCATATGGATTTAAATTAAAGGAAGAAAATTAACAGCAAAGGTATTTCTTACATGTTGTGATTTTGTAGTGCTATCAGCCCAAGAGTTGTCCTTTCCCCCATATGTATACTCAAAGGCATCAATTTCTGGAAACCTTGAGCCATCCTGCTAAAAAAATCAAGTTATAACTATACAAATATTGGTTTAATTGTTATGTACGTACAAGACTTTAATTTACAGCAGCCATTTCCTCAACTATATATGAGAGAGGATGTGAACCAGTGCGATGATTATGCTGCTTTTTTGAACAATTTGTTGTGTTAGATGATGAAGATTTCTGCAAAAGGTGAAATGTAAACAGTATAATGCAACAGTAGCACAAGTGATCAACACTAAATTAGTTCTTCTTTTGAATACATTTTTGTTTCCCTTGAACAATACTAAAACATGTTCTTCTTTAGATGATTTTCTTCCATCTCGTGCAAGGCATTCACTCCTAAGTGACCTGTCAATGTCATTTACAGAAAGACTACACGCCTCATCAATCTTGCAAAAAAAATATTATGATTATGTTTATAAATAATATTAATATAATAACTACTTTCATATTGAGAAAAGTAATATAATTAAGTATTCTTTAATCTTTGGTTGGCAGGTCAGATTTTCTGACTTTTGGTCTATCTATATTTGCTTTCACTTAATTATAAATATAATTATAATCAAGTTCTTTCTTAATAATCCCAATCACATTATTGTTTAGGTAAACTGAATCATCACTAAGTTTAATACTCACCTGATCTGTTTTTTGTTTCACGACTTGGATGACGGCGTACAACACTCACTGGTTGTGAAGGTGAAAATTTTGGATTATCATTCGGAGGACTACATTGAGCCCTTACATTATACAGGCTTGTTGTAGCTTCAGAGATAGGAGTAGTAGCATCAGCTGAGTAAAAACATATCAAGTAAAAGTGATTATTTACCATTAATTAAACGAAAAGAAAGTATATATAAAAGGTGCTATGACTAACATATAAATCCTACCTAAATCATTTCTGTCACGGCTATGATGATGATGCACAACGCTTGTAGGTTGCGAAAGTGGCTTATTTGGTACCTTAGTGGAAGGATCCCCTTGAGCACCTGAGGGAGGCAGATTGGTTGATATAGTTTCCCAGTGTGTATCCTTAACTGCTGCAGCAGCTGATTGAGTAACAGTTTGTTGAGAAAGATGAGATGCCTTCGGAGTTTGAAGTGAATGAGGCAAAGGAGCCATGCACCTGCACTTGCACCTGTGCCTGAATGGGAAGCAAGAGAACAAAAAAAACTGTGCATGTAGCCATTTCCTTATACCACTGAAACAAAGTTACCTATGGTTCCCAAGTATAATCGAGATTTGACCTTGGCCATTTCCTCGACCTTGGCAGCAGGGGTCCAATCATTTCCTTATATACGATTAACTAGATCATATAAGAAATGATTATATGCATTTCCCAATAATAGCTTTTGGGAACAACTTAATACAAATGAGATTGGACCCCTAATGGGGAAGGGCAGAAGGAGAGCATGAAAGCACTAAACCACAATCCACTTGTATCAAGTGTTATTCTCGACAATACAACATGTGGTTTAACATCAAGGGCATCAACATAAGAAATTTATGTGAGGGTCTTAAGATTTCATTCTCACGAGAGATCCAAATTTTATAAGAACTAGACATGAACTAGGATCTTTTTTCAAACAATTTGAACTTTATACATCAAAGATACAAAGTAGAGAGGGATTAAACACACAATACTTTGTGTCTTAAGATATGATAAGAAGTTTAATTTAATAAGTTACACATTACCTTGTGCAGAGCATACTTATAGAATAATAGAAAGAAGGTTTAAAACTCAACTTTTTGATCCAACTAATTCTGGAATCATATAGTAAATTTAATAGTATATACCTATCAAATATATAGGTAGAAACGCTTGGTGTGTATCTGGTATCTGGTATGCCCCAAGACATACTCGGTTTTTGCTATCAAAGATAATTTGTGCATCAAACAAACAAACACACATATGCATATTGTAAGAGCAAGATAAAATCATATATGTATGGGTCATGGCCAAGATTAAGTAAATTAAAAGCTGAAAAAAATTCACTAAATCAAGAAGATTTGTATTCTAATTAGCAACTATAAACAGGGTAGCTATTCATATGATTTCAATTAAACAAAGAATTTAAAAGTCCATAAAAGAAACGATGAAAGTTGAAAAATTAAGGGCATGCCGCAGATATAATCGAGATTGTCACCTTACTTGTATAGGTTGCAAGAATCAATTAATTGCTACCAAACTTGAAAGGAATAGATTTGAGAGAACAAGCCCCGACGTCGAGTTCATCAAGCGCTACCACCACCAAGCCTTTCGATCGAACTTCAGAAACCAGAACAGGGCGGCAAAAGAATTTGGGTTCTTTTAGCTACTCCGTATAATTTAGTCCAGAAGTAGTGGCCTGGAGAGCTATTAGGGTAGTGGAGGCGTAGTGGGAATGTGGGATTTAGGTAAAAAGTAAAGAGGGAATTTTTTAGTTTTGGAGCCAAAAATCAATTGATCATTCCAGTTCGACATATATATGTAGTACTAACGAAAAAACACTACTTAAAATATTTTATTTTGAGATTGAAAAACCTTTACCAAATACGGAGTACTTCATTATTTTTATCATGTGTGGATAGATATACTTAAATCTAGTTTGATAATATGTGAAATATTGTTTGTACAATTGTACATAGTATTTTATTATTTGCCACTTCAATCTTAATCTGGTTGATTTGGTCGGGTATGTTATATTCCATGTCTAATTTTATTTTTGTCTGAACTAGTCTGTTCAAATCTTATTTAGAGCCCGTTTGGTGATCTTATTTTTTGACTTATCAGGCTTATCAGTCAACTTTTTCATCAAACATGTAACTTTTAAATTATGAAATAATAAGAAAAGGTAAGGTTGGAGTTATTTTTTTGGTTGTATTGGCCGAAATTGTTGCAGATGATCATTTTAGTTGTTTTTCATATAATTTTTTCTTTATTTTATTACTAAAATATATTTTAAATATATTATTTTCATAAATAAGAAGAATCAACCCATCTAACAAATTCAGTCAAAACTCCATAAATTTCAGTAGAATCAACCAATACAGCCGATTTTGGTATTATCAAACGGTTCGTCAGTCTCACTTGATTTAGCCTGAGACTGAAATCAAAACCAAGTTTGATACAAAAAAATGTATTACTTTTAAAAAATATTAACATTTTAATATTACATATACTCGTGCATTTCTATAAAGTAATTTTTTTCCTTTTTGAGAAAAATAATCTTTGCCTGCAAATATAATTTTGTGTTTAATTAAAGAATATGTGGGGAGAGAACTGTTGCTAAGAAGTACGTTTTTGAAGAGATAGGATGTCTATAGAGAGAAATAATTTTTGTGGGGAAAAAAATTGTAGGAAAAGAAAACACCCCACAAAATATTTTCTTTGTAGGCAAAGAAAGTCTTTGTCTATAAATTTAATTTTGTATGTGTGAAATTTGTAGGGAAAGGGTCGAAATGTACTAGTGTCTTCTAGTGTTAGATTGATATTCCAACCCTAGTTAATTCATATCAATATGTTAACTTTATTGAGTTGCTCTAATGTTGCATATATATATGGATAGAAACGAATTTAAGAGGAATAAATCATAAAAATTTGACTTAGACCAAATATAAAAGACTAACGTCCACAGAGGTTAATCTTGAGCATTGACTCAAGAACTTAAAATGTAAAAAAACATGAAAATACAAAGTATATATGTAACACCCCGGCCCCACCGGACCCGAGGTAGTTACTCCAGACCTCTAGTACTGTCCTCACAAACCGCCAATAGCCTTTTTCCGCGCACTTTGTCCTCACTCGTGCGCGCCCTGAGAAACTTCCCAGGGGGTCACCCATCCCAAGACTACTCCCGTGCAAGCACGCTTAACTTTGGAGTTCTTGGTGATGAGCTCCCTTAAAAGGAGATGCATCTTGTTGGTATGAGTAGTACTATTAATCCGTTTATATTAAATCTCATGTGTTACAATCACCCCCACTTAGGAACGCAACGTCCTCGTTGCGCCCATAAACCAATCTCAAATCTCAATCAAATCCCAGAATCTTCCCCCGCTAAGTGCCCGCCCGATATCCAACGGGTCAACACACTGTCGCAGGGTTGCTCTGATACCACCTGTAACACCCCGGCCCCACCGGACCCGAGGTAGTTACTCCAGACCTCTAGTACTGTCCTCACAAACCGCCAATAGCCTTTTTCCGCGCACTTTGTCCTCACTCGTGCGCGCCCTGAGAAACTTCCCAGGGGGTCACCCATCCCAAGACTACTCCCGTGCAAGCACGCTTAACTTTGGAGTTCTTGGTGATGAGCTCCCTTAAAAGGAGATGCATCTTGTTGGTATGAGTAGTACTATTAATCCGTTTATATTAAATCTCATGTGTTACAATATAATATTATGGGGATCGGATGAGACTCAGGGTTGCCAATCCCTAACCGGATCGACAGAAGGCCCAGCCTGATAGTCGATCTGAAGCAGAAACCAACATGATTACTAACTTAGCTGAGTTTACTACTCGATTAAGGGAGCGAGGGACTCGCATTAGCGTAATGGGTCAAACTATATACTGATTATTGGCTACTTAACTAAAAGCACGTGAGCAGCTCAACTAGCTGACCGGGCCTGGGATTCAAGTTGGCAATAGCCCAAAACTGGCCCAAAATGCCTCATCTCAAATCAAGCCGGCCGGCTTATTAGCGCTAGCCGCTAGGCCACGAATTAGGTCAAGCCTATATATTGCGTTTAAATGGTGGACATGTCTTTTAAACGCCCATAAAAAGACAACCAATTCGACTGAGTTGACTTTATGCCATTTCGTATGAATTACTCCTCAGATATTCTTTTCTAACCTCCCTAAAGACTTATCATCCTGCGAGGAGAGGATCCTAGCTTAGTTATGGTAGACTGAAGTCCAGAGCTACTTGGAGCATCTTCAATGCTACAATGTGCACGGTGCATATGTGGCATGAGAGATAACCACATAAATATTAACAAATAAATTATTTCTCTTCTTATTTGAATGGTTTTATAAATTTTTGGTAAGTTTTTCTCCACAATGTCAAGAAGACCGTCTAGATATTGACATTATAGTTGACATTGCAGAGAAAAACTTACCAAAGCTGTATAAAATCATTTAAATAAGGAGAGTGATAATTTATTTGTTATTATTTATGCGGTTATTTCTTATGCCACATATGCACCGTACACATTGTAGCATTAGAGATGCTCTTAGAATTTTTTTTAATTTTTTTAGTGTAACTTTTTCATTTTTTACGATTAGCCCACCTCTCTAATATTTGAACCTAATATATTTATATTCATCCCGAAGCATCTCAAATTCGTGGATCCGCACCTACACCCTTCCAACAACACGCATGAGAGTGGCATATTTAAATAATTTAGAATTAAAAAAAAAGTTTCTTTGATGTACGAGAGTGGCCTTAAAATTAATTATTGTGAAAGGTCGGCCGTCCAAGGGTGACCATATCTGATGTACTACGTATATATGCGCCACGCAAGTGCTTTCATGCATGACCCTATTTCGTCAACGTCTAAGCTTGAGCCAGGTGTTATATATGGATTGCGGCACTTCCATTATTTCACCCGACAACAACCTAATTAATTTTATCAGTAACAACAACGTAACCTAGCTAGCGCTATTCCATCATTTATATATATATATATATATATATATATATATATATATATATATATATATATATATATATATATATATATATATGCATGTATGATCGATCTTCTTAAATCATTCAATCCCTCGGTACATACGTGGTAGGATAATTATTATATTGGTTTGGGAAATTAAGGAGAAAATTAAAGGGTTATTACTTATTAATTATATGGGTTGATCGAGAACGACGAGAAGGCCAGGCAAGGAAGCTAGCTAGCTAGTACTTGAATTGTTTCATGATGGAGTGGTCTCCCCAACAAGCCATGAAAGCTTACATCAACACTCTTCACTTGGTAAGATTGCGCAAATCAATTTCCTATGAAAATTAATTGGACCATTTATAATTACTTTGTTATATCAGTATTTCACATGATCGAAAATAGAAGAAATCGAAAATAGAAGGGATCGGATCGATAATTAATAAGGAGTACATATATGTGGTAATTAATTTATAAACATATACTCCGAGCATACTAGTACTATAGTATATAGTAGCTTAGGGAATTGAAGAAGGGAAGGTTGAAAAATAGGAAAGATAGATGTATTTGACTTGATCGGACCTATCTATTTGTACATACAAATTGATTTGCAAAATTAACTTTTTTTTATCAAATAATCCGTAGTTTAAAATTTTAAATTTTATTCTAATTCAATTCTTGTGGCTTGAAAAGATTTTAATAAAGCTCTAAAAATTTAAATTTAAATGATTAAAAATGGAGCTAATAATTATGAGAATTTAACATTAATTCAATTTATTAATATTTGAATTTTGACTTCCGATCTCATCAAATCAATTTGGAAGATTGTTTTCTGCACAGATTTTTTCTTACTAATTAAATTAACGGACTATTTAAGTCTAGCATGAATTGGTGTGATAAATACGAACTATTTTATAAACATCCTTGATTGATGTAGTATGGTTTTGGTTAATAATGATTAGTCCAAAGTGATGAATAAGCAAGGATGCAACATGGGATGGGCTTCAAAGGCGCCCAATATTGTGGAGCCGGAGTGCATGGAACTGATATCAGCATTGGCAGCCGGAAACAAGGCGAAGGTGATGGTAGAGATCACTTCCGGCGGACTAACTCCGTTTACAGTGGCCTTGGCGGTGGCGGCAAAGCAGACGGGAGGCCGTGTGGTACCGCACAAGGACAGTGCTGATGACGACGACTGCAATAATTCCACCAAGCGTGTAGCAAGTGGCGCTGCAGGCAAGAATGAGAGGCGGCGGCTGAGAGATGTGGTGGCAAGTGAAGGGGTGTTGACGAGCGTTGACTTCTTGGTTGTGGACAGCAAGGCCGCCGGAGAGATGAAGGTGGAGGTGAACAGTAAGGGGTGTGTGGTGGTGGCGACCAATCTGCCGCAGCCTCAGCGGCTTCATGAGAGGAGCAGCAGAGGTTGTAGTCTAAAACTGGGATAAAGAAGGAAATATAAACTGAAAGCTTAAGCATAAACGAGCTAATAATAAGCTGCTGTATCAAAATCATATATTTCATTGAAGTAACAAGGCTATATATAGCCATAATAATGTTAAACAAAGTGATCCACTAATGACTCAACTAACTCCTATTATTTAGGCCTGATCACACGTTCAAAAGCAATAAACTAAAGTGCTGAACTGACTCCACAAAAGTAGCTAAACATGAAGACTAAATCTTATTTTAATTATAAGAAAAAAATGAAAAGATCATTTCTTTTCCTCAAAGCCACGTATGTATGTTGCGTGCATCACCCATGCACACGAAGCTTGGTCAGCTTTCAACACCTCCCCTTGATCCAAGCTTGCACATGCCTATTTTCTCCATGAAGTATTGATGCTTGGCTTGGTTCAAGGCTTTAGTGAACAAATCTGCATTCTGAAAATTAGTTCCACAGAACTTCATAATGATCTTCCTTTCTGCAACTAGCTGCCTTATAAAATGATGTTGTACTTCAATATGTTTTGTCCTTGCATGGTATACTGGGTTCTTGGTCATAGCTATGGCTGATTTGTTATCACACCATAACTCTATAGCCTCATCCTGATCATGCCCCAAGTCTTTTAGCAGTTTCTTTAGCCAAATAGCCTGCCTAACTGCAGCACCTGCTGCAACATACTCTGCCTCTGAAGAGGACAAAGCAACTGTTTCTTGCTTCTTGGAGCTCCAGGTGATTGCTCCTGATCCAAGGTTGAACACAGACCCTGATGTGCTCTTCCTATCATCCAAACAACCTGCCCAATCACTGTCAGTATGCCCAACCAGCTTGCAGGCCTTCACACTTTCATAGAGTAGCCCATACTCCATTGAACCTGCAACATACTTAAGTACTCTTTTTGCTGCACCTAAGTGTTGTTTGGTTGGAGAGTGCATGTACCTTGATATCACACTCACACTATAGGCTAGATCAGGTCTAGTGTGAGTGAGATAGTTCAAACCTCCTACTAGACTTCTGAAAGTTCTTTCATCAGCATTACCAGTTCCATCCTCCCTTTGCAATTTCTCACATATGTTCATAGGAGTTTTCACAGTTTCACTTTCCTCCACCTGGAACTTCTTGAGCAGATCACTTGCATACTTTCTTTGACACAGAAAGATACCATCATCTCCTTGGTATACTTCCAGGCCAAGAAAGTACTTAAGTAAACCAAGATCAGTCATTTCAAATTGCTTCATCATAGCATACTTAAACTCTGCCAACATCTTACAAGAGGAACTGAAATATATAATGTCATCTACATAAAGGCAAACTACTATGAAATCATTTGTACCTTGCTTCTTTATGTAGAGTGTTGGTTCATTCTCACTTCTCTCAAACGTGTTTTCAAGAAAGAAGGAGTCAATTTTACCATACCAAGCACGTGGAGCTTGCTTTAAACCATATAAGGCCTTCTTCAGCCTATATTGTCACGCCCCGGACCTACCGGACACGTCAACAACCCGCCGTACAGTACGAATAGTCAACCGCAGTCCAACTCATCCATACTATACTAGGCGTCTTGAATATCATTCACAATAGTACATCCATAAACAAACATAATGTAAAATAATCATTTAAATCAGCGGAAACGTTTAATACAAGTGTTTATGCCACACTTCGGCAACATGGGCGTACAAGCCCCAAATAATTAATCAAAATAATATCCATGAGCATTAATTTAATGTTTTAAAAAATAGAACGGAGGAAGCACGAACCACGTCTTCTCTCCCTGAGCTCCCCGAAGCAACGGGCGATGGTAGCAAGCTTTACTCCCTACCTGAAACTGTGAGGTGGCCTCCCCCGTGAAGGGGAGGTCAGTACTTGGAAGCATTTGACAAGTACAATGACAACTATACTAAGTATAATCAACGTTGTAATTTCTAAGACCCTCAAAATAGGGTGATATCATAATATAAATAATAATTTATATTTCCCACTTATTATCTCTATAATAAGTAAATTTATTTATTTGTCGGCACACGGCCCATTTCATATATTTCATTATACCCGTCGTTAGCACGACACCGCCCGTAGGTCTTATCATCCTTTACGAGACTTGTCACCGCTCTCCGAGGCCTCACCGGGCTCTCGGGCCGGAGTCCAACATCCCGCCCCTGAACTCATACCCATCATCCCGTAGGAAGGTAAGGTCCATTCGGGGTCCTATCTTATGTGTTACCGCTGTCGGGAGCCTCGTAAGGTCTCCGGTTCGGATTCCACCCTAACCCGTGATCACGATGTAAGTCCATGCTATCCAACCCCGCTCTCTAGAGTCGGGAAGGGCCATGGTCCTTACTAATTACCAATACTCTATCGGCTAATCCTTAAAGACTACCGAATACACCCGTAGGCCAATCCTATTCCTAGGATCAATTTATTACTCTCTTTATCTTGGGTATCCCTTAAGGCCTACCCCTAGCATCACTTATCCACCTTAGTATCTCTTAAGACTACTTAAGGCTCAACAATTTACAATCCAAACCTTGGATCAATTCTAACATATTTCATTCCAAAACCCCGACTAGTATCATAATACTAGTCGGATAAATTCCAACAAAACTCATTTTCAATTCAAAGTCATATAGACAATTTCCAAACTAATTTTCCATTGAAAATATAGTTCATATCAATATACAAAATATAACCTTTAACCACTCATATATCCTTATATGAAGTTATAGTTATATTTCAACACAATATTTATAACTAATCCCTTCATCAAGCCAATATGCTCATATTACATAATCATACACAATTTATCCTTAAATTTGTATATTATGCTTCTTTATTCATTGACAACAATATTCTCATTTAGGCATTATTAATCATTAATAATCCATGAAAATCACATTTATTTACTTTAGGTAATCCTACGAAATTAACCCAAAGATTATAAGCAATATAGTCAGCCATCCTCACCTTATGAAGTGCTGAAATAGTTGTCCTTGTTAAGCCCTTCGATCAATCCCCGTTCTAAGCCGTTTGGAGATGAAAAAATCTGGGCAGCAGACGAAAGCCGGGCGGCTTTCGTGAAAGGTGGGCGGCTTTCGTGGTCTGCAGCTACGAACAGCCTCCTATACTTGGCGGTTTCCGGCGATTTCAACTCCTATCGATTCCACGACTCTTCTAAGTTAAATACCACCACTTTATAACATTATTCTACACTTTTAAACGTGTAGAACTTCATGTTTAATCCACCATATGATTTCTTAAAAATCATACAAAAATAATACTAGTTAAAGAATAATACTTGTGTTCTTACCTCAAGAACAACTCTTTTCTCCTTGGATTTCTTTTGTTGATGTTGCCTTCAATCTTGGACCTTGTTGAAGACTTTCCCTTGAGCTCTCTCTCTCCCTTAGCTTGTTCGAATGGTGTGTATTGAGATAGGAAGGATTCCTTCTCAATCAAACACACATAATGTAAAGGTGGGGTATGGAGGGTGTGGGTTTTTGTCTCAAGGAGGCTTCCTCCTTCATGCACGCCCCTCCCCCCTTATTTTGTCCCCCTCCCCACTTCTTTGAGGCTAGATGATGTGTAAAAATACCCGAAGTGGGTGTAGGAAGTCCCTCCCAATTATTTCCGCTATTTTTGGTAGGTTGGGCCAAAATAGCACTCGGGTTGTCCAAATATTTTTTATCAACTTTAGTTGGCACTTTATTGGGCTCCTATAATTATTACGATGACCCAACTAAATATTTGGTAGCCCAGTCACATATACTGGTCCCGATGAATAATTTAATTAATCGCACATTAATTAAATATGCCAATCAATTACACGAATTTTTATTCGTTAGGAAATTCGAATACATATCAAATTCCAAATTCAAGTACATCCGGGTGCGGTGTCACAAGTTCACCCCCCCTTAACGGGAATTTCGTCCCCGAAATTCACAAATGCTTATTCAAAAAGAAATGCATACTGTTCCTTCATCAAGGCTTCTTTTTCCCTAGTTTCTTCTTCAACTCGGTCACTTTTCCAAAGGATTTTAACCATTGGAACTTTCTTGCTTCTCAGCTTCTTTACTTGCCTATCAAGTATCCTCACCGGTCGTACGGCATAGTTCAAATCCTCACGTATTTCCACGGGTGGTTTCTCTAACACGTGAGACGGATCCGGCACATATTTCTTTAGCATAGACACGTGGAACACGTTATGTATCTTCTCCAATTCTGGAGTCAACTGCAATCGGTATGCTACGGCCCCAATTCTTTCAAGAATCACAAATGGCCCTATGTAGCGTGGGTTAAGCTTCCCTCGGCTTTGAAATCGGATGATCCCTTTCCAAGGTGAAACTTTCAAGAATACCTCATCTCCCACCTTAAACTCTAAGGCCCTCCGACGCTTATCGGCATAGCTCTTCTGTCTATCCTGGGCCGCCTTAAGCCTTTCGCGAATCATCTTCACTTTAGACTTGGTGATCTCCACCAATTCCGTGCTCTCGAGTTTGGCCATGCCAACCTCATCCCAACACAACGGTGTACGACATTTCCTCCCATACAATGCCTCGTATGGAGGCATGCCGATACTTGCCTGATAACTGTTGTTATAGGCAAACTCAACAAGTGCTAAATGGTTATCCCAACTCCCTTGGAACTCCAATGCACAAGCTCTCAACATATCCTCCAAAATCTGTATAACTCTCTCGGATTGCCCATCCGTCTGTGGATGAAAAGCAGTGCTGAATTTCAATTTCGTTCCCATAGACTCTTGGAACTTCGGCCAAAATCGTGATGTGAATCGTGGATCCCTGTCGGACACAATGGTTATAGGAACCCCATGTAGCCTCACGATCTCATCCACATACAATTTGGCTAACCTCTCAAGTGCATAGGTAGTGTTGATAGGTAGAAAATGTGCACTCTTCGTGAGCCTATCAACCACGACCCATACAGCATCATAATTCCTCACGGTCCGTGGCAGTCCTACCACAAAATCCATGGTCACGTGCTCCCATTTCCATTCTGGAATGGAAAGTGGCTGCAACAACCCAGCTGGATGCTGATGTTCTGCCTTAACTTGCTGGCAAGTAAGGCATCTACTGATGTACTCGGCTATTTCTCTCTTCATGCCAGACCACCAGTAACTTTCTTTCCGATCACGGTACATTTTCGT